TCATTCACAAATGTTAAATTTGCCCCTATAACATAAGTTCAAGTTTAGTCAAAAATTTTTATGATTTATAATTCATTATGAATCAATTCTTCGCATGATATCTAATTCACTATTACGGTTTTGGGTAATGATCTTTTGTTTGAGTTTTTATGCATCAATTAAACTAATATGATTTTGGGCGATTGTCTTTTGTTTTAAGCTTTTGTGCATCAATTCTTTAAATAATATCCAATTCAACTTTTACTATTTAGATAATTGATCTTTTGTTCAAGTTTTTATGAATTAATTCTTTGCATGATATCTAATTCAACGTTTACAGTTTTGGGTAATGGGTTTTTGATTGAGTTTTTTATATATCAATTCTTTAATATTAATTTTGACTATTACGATTTTGGGCAATTAGCTTATGTTCAAGCATTATGCTTTAATTATTTTTAGTATTATGAATTTGAATTGCTTCTTCAATAATACTATGTTTAAAAAGAAAACGTGTAACTTTTTTTGCATTTAATAAAAAAAAATTTTATAAAAGGATGTGAATGTGTGCGCTTATTTATAATAATTTTAGTTGCAATCGTGATTGATTAAATAATTTTACACTATAATAATATTTTTGAATTTTTTCTATAATAATACAACCAATTTCTTTAATAATTCACATCTCTTATCAAATGCCACCAAGACGTTATCGTACCCGTAATTATTCAAATGAACGTATACTCTATCTCCAAAAGAAAAAAAGAGAAGAAGAAATAGATATGCTAAAATGGTATAGAAAAGCAGTCAACGAGCAGGCCAACACATCTAAACAGCATACGGAAAAGAGTGATAAAAAACTTGAATTAGTCCAAGCCAATAAGGATCAAAAACTTAAATTGGTCCAGACCAATGAGAATCAAAAACTTGAATTGGTCCAGACCAACGAGATCAAGCACCAGAAAGACGAATGCTTGGATAACAGTATAAATAATTGGGATTTGGAATTATTAATTAAATTACAATATTGATATTGAATATTTAGGTTTTGCTTTTATGCAATCCTGAAATGAACAGGATTTCTTGACAGAATTGATTTCTAAAATATTATGTACAAAAATATAACGTTAATAAAAAAAGAGATTTTCATTTAAATACAATTATACCATAAATTCTTGAAATATTTCGATCACTTGTGCGTAACTTAACCCTTAATTAATTGCATCATTTGTATCAATCAAATTGTCTCACATGTACAAGCCACCATGACTGATATTAAAGTCAAAGTACTGTAAAAGCTATTGGAGCTGAGCAACTTGGTAAGTGAAGGCTTCAATTTTTAAAGATATCGTATCGTAACTGCTCATTGTTTCCTCTCAGCCAATACCCGGCATCACATAGGGTTAGAGGTAGCATTTAATTAGTTGCGAGTATATATTGTTAGCAAATTGTCACCTGCGTGATGTCGAGATGACCTACAAATTTGTGTAACCAATTTTGAAAAATTTGAAATTAAATAAATTTTTAATTAAAACTTTTTTTTAAAAAAGCGCTCAATTAGTCTAAAATATAGAGCCTGCAGAGCAATTGAGTAAATTTTTTAAAGAAGTTATTATGTAAATTATTGAGGAGATACCGTTTGAAAATTACCAGTTTATTATAAAATCACTATAAAAAATTACTAAAATTTAAATCGTATCTCCTCAATAATTTACATATTAATTTCTTTAAAAATATTACTCAATTGTTCTGCAGAACCTATATTTTAGACTAATAAAGCGCTTTTTTAAAAAAATGATAAAAAACATAATAAATTCGATAAAAATTTGTCAAAATTTGAGTTTTTAATATAAATCATC